GATTTCCATCAATGACACAGACTGCAGCAGGATTCACTTTAAAAGCAGTGCTGTCTGTTTTAATCCTGGCGTGGATCTGACACACATCTGATTTTCTCTCAGCTCTTTACGGTCATTTGGGACTTTTTAACTCATTTAAGACTGTGTTTACGAGGTCACTCACCAAAAGTGGGCATTTTGACACAATTATGTGTGTTTTTGTCCACGACAAATAACTCCTGTGCTCTTGGCCAGTACTGAATTTACCTCTCTTTTGCGTCCTATCGTACTTGATAGTGTGTTTATATAGTCTACTGTAATGCTGTAGCCAGAGGATGGCAGAAAAAAAAGAATGCTGCATTAATTGCGTTAAAGGTGGGGTATGTATTTTTTCAAAAACGCTTTAGAAAACTGAGTCGCGCCGAATACCAAAACAAACTTGTAGCCAATCAGCAGTAAGGGGCGTGTCTACTCATAATGTTGAGGAGAGAGCGCTCAGTGCACAGGACGGACATTAGCCGAGCCGAGCGACAGAAAGATAGAGATGGCGGATAAAAAACAAAAGAGGAAAACGTCATAAATAGAATGCAGCAGCAGTTTTCTGTCGGGGATTTGTCATGCCGCGCTGCATCCAGTGTAGACCGCATCACTGATTATAATGAGTTCTATTGTATTTTGTTGCGCCGCGCCACTTGCGTCCGGTGTAGACACGGTGTAACATTGGTTTTGCTTTGTTTCACAGAACTAATCGTTGCCTGGGTTGCTTGCGTACATATGTGTGGGGCGGAGCTATCAAAATACACTCTTAAAAATAAAGGTGCTTCAAAAGGTTCTTCAAGCGATGCCATAGAAGAACCATTTTTGGTTCAACAAAGAACCATTCAGTCAAAGGTTCTTTAAAGAACCATCTCTTTCTTACCTTTTTATAATCTGAAGAACCTTCATGGAACCATTTAGACAAAAAGGTTCTTCTATGTCATCGTGAAGCACCTTTATTTTTAAGAGTGTAGGGGCGAGACTCTTTTGGGGTAGGGGCATGTTTGTTTTGGTGATTTGAAATATCAACACTGGCTACCAGAAATCACTTACCCTACCTTTAAATACAATGAATGCGTTAATTTTGACAGCCATAATTATTATCAATGTTGAACACGGTTGTGCTGCTTAATGTTTTTGTGGAAACTGTAAGCCTACATTTTTTTTCTGGATTCTTTGATGAATAGAAAGTACAAAAGAACAGCATTTATTTGAAATAGATATTTTGTAACATAAATGTCTTTACTGTCACTTTTGATCATTTTAATTGGTCTTTGCTAAGTAAAAGTATGAATTTCTTTCCAAATTAGTTGGCATACCATGTAATAATTCATAAATGATTCAATTAAACATCATCTTTTTCTACTGTAGTTTTCATCATTTTTGTCCTGTTTGTGTTTTCTTTTTTTCAGAAAGGGGGGGGGGGGGGCTGTCATCAAGAGTGACTTCTACTTATTGTTTATAGCAAATTACTTTTTAGATGTGCTCTGGCCTGATTTTTGATGACTATTTTATCAAACATGTTTACATGATCAAAATGTACTGTATATCCCTTATGAAAACAGGGCATCTTCCTTCTTCAGCAGTCTGCATGATAAAGATTTGATCCATTAGATATGGAAGCAGAAATAAAGCTAGTTGGTACACATTTCATCATAAATAGTAACAGACATTGGAGACATTTAAATTAATAGTTTTCGCAAAATTTACATTTGCTGAACATTTACTTACCCTCAAGCCAACCAAGCTGTTTCACAGGACAAAGCAATATTATGGATAAAGGACTCATTAGCTGGAAGCAACTGCTTAAAGAAAAAAAAAAGGTTTTGTTACAAACATGCAGCTTTTCACTTAACAAGATCTTAATTGTTAGACTGGAGTCATGTTGTTTACCTGTGGATTATTTTAATATCTTTATCAGCTGTTTTTTTTTGTTTTTGGGAGAAGAGGGGGGGGGGGGGGGGTCCGAAAACCAGTCAGCATCTGGTGTGACCACCATTAGCCTCACGCAGTGCAACACATCTCCTTCACATAGAGTTGATCAGGTTGTTGATTCTATCAAAATAGGGACGATGTCTAAGCTGTCTAAGATTTAGACAGATTTGTGAACAATATTTGAGAGAAATAGGCCTTTTGCGTACATAGAAAAAGTCTTAGATCTTTGAGTTCAGCTCATGAAAAATGGGGGCAAAAACAAAAGTGTTGCGTTTATAATTTTGTTCAGTGTATGATTTAAGAGAGGCTTGACACTTATGTCTATTTAAGATTTAAGATCTGAATATTTTACTGTTTACACTTTGGCACACTTTTGATCAACAAAATAACATTTCAAAATTGTAAAAAAGAGGCGTATGCTTTGAATGGTAGAGCTTGTTAATGGATCTTGCTTCTAGATTCATTTTATATGTGTAGAAAGTAACTTTTTTTCATTTTCTGTTGCTCTTTGTGCCTCTTAAATTCAAATCAAGGTTGTGATTTTGCTAACGCTGCTAAGATGATTATTATTACGTTAAGAAATTGTAGACACAAACTAACAAACACTAAAACTCCTGTAGACAATTACTACCTGTTACTTTTTAGATACAATACTGAATGTTCTTATTTGTGTAATATTACAGATCATCAAACCTCTTGAATTAAGGGATGATAAATCTGACAAATTATGAAAGGCTGTGCTCTCATGGATGTTACCAAATTGGGATACAAATTGAAATGTATTTGCCATGTTTTTATTTAATTTGTCCCTTTAGTTAACATGATAGCATGTTACCAAAGTTTATATTTATTTTTTTGTTTATATCACTCCGTACATTTTTCATAAGGTGACCTCATCACGTTTATTAACACTATTAAAATAATAAAAAACTCAAAGTATTTTAGTCTTTGAAGCCAAAAATGCGGTTTAAATTAATACTACACCTGACGTTTCCCTTTGACAATTGGGTTGTTTAAAAAAATATATTTTCTGTTAATAACTCATTAATAAAGAGCCTTTTGAGAGTAATTTGTTTGTGATACTTCTGAATTCTGTTCTAAAATGCTACCACTCAGACTGTATTGAACTGAACTTATTAGTAGCAGCTATAGTGCTAATTCTTTATATATTTTTAGAAAAAATGATAGACTGAAAATAATTGAATATAATAATAAAATAATCAGAAACTTATTTAGAAAACCATAATCACATAAATGCAAGCAATACAATGAAAAAAAAGGATTATTCAATGAAATTCATGTCTAACTGGCTTTGATCAAATATGATAGACTCAAAGTTATGTGAAATTAAGTTTAAGCTATTTTGTCTTATTAATAGAATAGAAATCTAAAATGTGTTTTTCTTATTACATTTACGTTTAGTCATTTAGCAGATGCTTTTATCCAAAACGATTTACAAATGAGGCCAAGAGAAGCGATCAAAACCAACAAAAGAGCAATAATATATAAGTGCTGTGACAAGTCTCAATTAGTCTAATGCAGTAAACGTAGCAAGGCTTTTTAATATAATTAATAAAAAGAAAAACAAGTAGATAGAATAAAAAAATAATAGGGAACGCTAGTTTTAGAGGGTCTTTTTTCAATAAAAATAAACCAAGTCAAAAGAATAGAAAAATAATAGAGAATGCTAGTGTTAGAGGCTTTTTTTTTTTTTTTAAACAAAGGAAACAAGTAGTAAGAATAGAAAAAGTATATATATATACACACATACATGGGGAATCGTGTCACCGTGGGAAAACAAGCTTGTGGTTCATACATTTGAGAATGTAAAAATGCAGAAAGTTTTCTGTGAAGGGCAGGTTTAGGTGTAGGGCGATAGAATATACCATGTGTACAGTATAAAAACCATTACTCCTTTGGAGAGTTCCCACACGGATAGTAAACCATGTGTGTCTGTGTGTCTGTGTGTGTGTCTGTGTGTGTGTGTGTGTGTGTGTGTGTGTGTGTGTCTGTGTGTGTATGTGTGTGTCTGTGTGTGTGTGTCTGTGTGTGT